CCCCATAAACACCCAGATCCCCAAGGCTGCTGACTTCCTTGTAATTATTTTAATTATACAGTCACACAAAGATCCCCCCCTGCCCAGCTGTGCAAAGATGTCACTCTGTCCCCAAGCCCCCCCCCCCAGCCCAAAAAACAGCACAGAGACCACACAGGCCCCGCTTGGGCCATGCGAGGCACTGATCACACTGGGGGGCGGGGGGGGGGCAGAGCACTTACAGTCAATGGGGGCAGAAGAGGGTGGGGTAGCAACCTACTGAAATGGATCCCGGAGCACAGGCCCCCACCCCCCCCACCCCCCGGGAGCTGGGGGTCGCCGCGGCCGTAAGGGGATCCTCCCGGCGTCTCAGTTCCCGGGGTTTGCACCTGTCACGGTCCGGGTCACGTTTCCGCGTGCGGCGACTAACAGATCCCAGCTCAGAGCCCCCCCCCACTACCATTCCGGCACAGATACTCGGAGGGCGGCTTTACAGGCAGCAGAGCGGGGGTACGCACCCATCTGCCTGAGCAGGGGCCACACGGAGCCAGGCGGTACGACCAGTCAGGGTGGGGTGGGCACAGCATCCCTCCATAGTGGGACCTTCAGAGAATTAACCACCATCCCCCCCCCAGCCAAAGCTAAAGTGACAGGTGATTATCAGGTCAGTCAAGTGCTAAGGATGGCCTGGGGGGGGGGGGTTAAGCTGGGGAAAAAAACGAGGTCAGGTGTGATATGCAGGCATTTAGCCACTGACTATTCAGTCTGGGGAAACTCGAGGGACGTGACTGAGCACCGAGCACATCGCCCGCAGGAGACACCGAAAAGTACAGATTGAGGTTTACAGGAAATGCTGTTGTACCCTAGAGTGACACAAACCAAAATACAAAGCTCCTGTGAGGGACACGGGGGCGGGGCCAAAGGGGCGATGCCGCCCAGCTGAAAGCCTCACCTGTCACTCAAAGATTCAACACATATCATTGGTTGGCTCCTCTGTATGAATTATGGCCCTCTTTATGCCCCTCCCCCTTAAAAAATCCCAGAAATCACCCTGGGACCCCAAGTCAGTGCCATCGCCACCTTGAGACAGAGAGGTGGATTACATGGATGGAAAATGATTGAAACAGAGCGATGACCGCGATGGCGGTGACTCCAGAGGTGTCCCTTGAGGGAATGCAGGGGCGTCACTGCTTTAACGGCCAGACGGGGGCGCTCAGGTCAACGTATGCCGCTCAACCGAGGGAGATGAAAGACGTTTTAACCCGGGACCGAACACTGCTGTGACAGGCAACGGAACAAGTTGCATGGACTTCCTAAAGCTAATTAATCTGTTTCCTCTAAAATTGGATTAGATCCCAGGGGGAAATGTGGAAGGGGCGGGGGGGGGCAGAAGTCACGCGGAATGACAATAGGTGAGACCCTCTCCCGATCGAAGGTCAGGGGTCAGAGGTCAAGTGAGCATGAGGGCCCTGCATGGCCGAGCAGACTGGCGCTGGCGTCCTGCTGACTGGCGGGACCCCGATGAACCGTGAGGGGGGGGCATGTTTCGTATGGGTGGGTTTGGGACATTAAAGTCATCAGGCAGTTGGGGCTCGGGCCACCCCGCCCACAGCGTCTCCACAGGCCTCGCAAGCAAGCGTGGCGGAAGCTTCCATGCCACCAGCTTCCTGTGTTTAATCGTCTGTGTAAAGCCCAGCTCAGATGGTCCCAGTGCTGCTCTCATTCAGCCCACAGCCAGTTAAGGGGGCAGCAGACCATGGAAGGAAGAAAAAAAGAGGAATAGAGAAAGAACAGACGACGTTTTGGCCTCCTCGAGGGCCGGGGAGGGGGGTGGGGGGAGCGGCAGTTTGGCAGGGAAATTAATCAAAGCAGATAAAATGCATTGTGATTCTGAGCCAGGTCTAGCCGGAGACCGCATCGATTCTTTGACATCGACGGGCGGCCAGAGCGACCAATCGTGACATGCCTCGCCTACAGAGGTCACAGGATTGGCTCAGGCCCTCAAGGGGCACACAAATAGGAGAGATGAGAGGGCGGAGCCAGCCAGGGCATTTAGGTGGGAATGGGTTATTTACTCACTTTTTTTAAAGGTGGTTGTATTTCACATAGAGAGAGATGAGCGAAGGGAAACTTACGCTTGAGGAAACGGTACCGGACCCACTTGTTCTGCTTTCGGGCGTAGCGCCGCACAGCCAGCCTCAAGGCCTCGACACCTGGCGGAGGAGAGCGAGGGAAAAGGAGAAGTCACATGACAGCACGCTGGAGAAGCGGACTGTGATCTCGTCACGAGCACCGCATCACGACTCCGGCGTGTATCATCCAAAGCGGGAATCCGGGGGCAGCGGAAATGTTTGTGGGGGGGGGGGGGGAGGACGCCTCTCTTCAGCCCAGTCAGGTTGCCGCAGGCAAGAGCACCTAGCCAAATCGCTGCCTGGATCTGGCGCAGTGTTGTAGTGTCACGTGAGCTGTCCTGGGGAGTCTGGCGGGGGGGGCCGGTAGAGAACCGAAAACGCCTAAAGCTGGCAGCAGCACCGACACCTGACTGCAGCGGGAAGCAGCTCAGGGGGCCGCCACAGGCTTCCTGTTCCTTCCGGACCGCGGCTCGCGCGGAGCAGCCACTTCTGTAAAAAGATCCCGCCGCGAAGCGAAATCGCAAGCGGACCCCGACTCAAAAGGCCCTCTGGGGGCAGCGCGGAGCAGCAAGAGGGGCATTAAGGGGAGCCAGACGGCATAGCGTGAGTATCGAAGATCCGTACTAACAGAAGTGGCGTCAAGGCGTGGGTGAAGGGGGTGAGTTCCTGAGGGCGTCAGAAGGTCCTCGGGGACGATACTCTGAAAAAGGTCAGCACGTTTCCGGCTGGACGAGCAGACCACGTCACACCCCCACTAGGGGTCCGAGTGGCATTTTGTGGGGGGGGAAGGCCTACCTTGCCTGAATAGGGACTCTCTCTCCTCCGCTCCCACACCGTCCGCCGTGAGGTACCGGTGGAACTCCTTAAAGCCAATCGCCTGGAAGATGCCGTGCTGGTAGTCCTGGCTGAGGAGAGCGCAGTGACATCCGTTAGCGGCCGGCCGCCACCCCTCCCTCCCGCTGGGCCATGTGTCGGCCGCTTTCCCTTCCAGCATGTTCCGCTGACTCGTTTTAATTAACTTAATAGGGCTAATTATAGCTCGCTACCAAACCCATGCATTCTGCTCAAAACACGGCGCTCCAGGACCGATCGCCCTAATGTGCTCAAAACGTCCGCCGTCGACAAATACGCTTTTAGACAAAAAGGAGTCGATTTAGCTCAGATAATTAAGTGAGGATGGTCCAGCCGGAACCGGCAGCCGCAGGGCGAGGCAGAATCCACCCTGTACTGATACCAGACTCACCGACCAAAGCAGATACCCAATACTGCCCCGCAAAGGTAACTACACTGACACTAGAACCTAGAAAAGGGCCTTCCGAGTTTTTTTGACTCTCCACCCATGTGTGTAGTAGGCAGGTAAATGACTGTGCAAAACTGAGCACCGATATTCTGTCGTGAGACCTGATCAAATATGCAGTCATGGTATTTTTGAGCGGTAGATTGCTCCCCCCAGACGAGGCCATAGTAATAATGGAGATGCACACGGTACTGCCCCCAGTGGCACAGAGCAGCAGTGGCTCGCGGTAACTCAAGGCGCGCACCGAGTCCCCCCAGTATCCTTCGAAAACGCATGGGGGGCGGGCGGGGGGCTCATGATCTGGTGAAGGGGTTCGATCAGCACGTTGCCGCCGGTGAGTATGGCAGGGA